TTTTTTTTTTTTTTTTTTTAAATTTTGGGTCGGACCGGAACCTCTGATGAACGTTGGCAGTCTGACGGCTAGATTAAATCTGGGTGGTTGGATCTTTTTAACTGTTAAAGATACAACGACGATTTTTTCTTTTTTACAAACGGTTGTAGTTCTGGATACGTTTTCGAATCGGTCCTCCTGTAACCACCAACAGTGAGATTTTTAAACTTTATCGTTGGGTCATCTCAACCATTGACATCCAACGTCCAGTACTCAACCGACCTGTCTGAACCGTCAGGCCGAACCGAAACCGACAGTTGAGTTAGTAAAAACAATCCAAAAAAATCGAAAAAAATCCTATAAATACAACTCCTTCCAAACCACAGTTGCCACACAAATTATAACTTTCATTCACTCTCTCTTCACACTTCTATGTTCTTAAAGTGCTCTTTTTGAGTTTTGTGCTCGATCTGCTATAAAATCGGTTCAATTCTATATAAATTCAGTTTCGATTCTATAAATTTATTCTCTGTTTTGGTTATATAATTTTTTTTTTATTATACTCTCTGATTTCTAATTTCTATCATTGTTACATCTCTTTTTTATTTTATATAATCTATTATTCAAGTTATAAAATGTCGAGTGCTCGTGGTGGTCGTGCTGGTGATCGGGGCCACCAGAAAATAGCGTGATCCACGCTATTTATGTTGATGAGAATTGACGTTTAATTAAATAAAATTCTAGTTTTGCATTTAAATAAATAAATGGTTTATTACAAATGGACAAAAGATCATTTATCGGTTACTTGTGAAACATAAACAATTGATTTACAACCTAGATGGAAATCGAAAATTGGAATTGTTGTAGAGTGGGTGGTACACTTGATCTTGACTGATTAGCCGCACTAGTACAATTTCGTGTATTGAATGGACCCCAGATAGGAGCAATTCGTTTTATACTGATCGACGAAGAACTAGGCTTCGGCTAATTACTGCGTTCTCGTAACGCGTAAGATATAAACAAACACATGTATGTAGTAATTACTGCTTTGATCAGCAAGGTTAGGTTTATAATATGGACCAATAACTGTCTGTTTTGGGTAGTGATTCCTACATGACATGGTGTTATGTTATAATACTAGCGGTTACCATGTACTTCATAGTGTTGAAGTTTGATGATGTCCCCGAAGTGAGTTCAGAAGGATTATTATGTTAAACCTTGCACGTGGATTAAATGCCGACATAACAATAATGACTGAACGGTGCTAGCTTCGGTTATATAAGTCAATTAATTTAATTAACAATAATTAAATAAATTGCCGGATATTATATTTTAGATATGGGGAGGTATATCGAGAACATTAGAAAGTGGAGCTCAAATCGTAATTTGGGAATTAAATTGGGAGTATTTCAATAATAGTACTTTCGTGGAAAGACCGTATTATTCCTATTAGGCTTAGTAGGCTTGAACTATAGTCTAGTCCTAAAAGAAGAAACTCAATTTAATGCCTCATGAGGGTCCCTATTGGAGCCTATAAATACACATATTCTCTAGTTTTGCAAGACATAACACACATAGAGATATCATGTTACTCCTTCCCACAAGGGGAGTTCTAGAGGTGTTAGGAAACCCAAGAGAAGATCCTTAGGTAGTCGAGCACCCAACCACCATCGACCATCTCCCAAAAACCAAACACCACCGTGCGAGTTCACTGAAGACGCCCACGCGACATGATCGCGACCAACAGACGTCCTACGAATCACGCGCACAGCCCCGTTGCACACGTGATCCCAACACCAGTCCCCGACGACGAGCCCCGACGCGGTTGAGGTATGTTAAAGCTCGACTTTCAGTTTCTGACGATTCCGTTTAGAATGAGTATTCACGTTTTAGTTAAGTGCATGTTTTGGAGTTTATTTATTTATCCAAACATTGTTCTTTTATTTTACATTGTAGATAATATGGTTTTGGGTGTGGAACAGTAAGATCATAATATCGGTGCCTTGTAAAATATAAATGATGGTTCACAGCCTAGATGAGAATTGAACTCCATGGTCGTGAAAGACTGTAGTGTGAATCTTGGAATTAGTTGATCTTAAACTAATGGATTACACTAGTACATCTCGCATGTATTGAACGACCCACAAGAGGATAAGATTATATTATACTGACCAAGTAAATAACCTAGACCTCATAATTTGTTGCTATTCATAACCCGCAAGACAATTTATGGACATATGTGGTCGACACTTGCTTATTTGATTTATCAAGGGTGATACTTATTCTGATAGGTCGACATACTCGATATTTTGGTAAGTAATGTCAGATGCATAATGTACCGTCAATAATGTTTACGGTCACCGTATCCTGGGAAAGTCCGAGTTGATGATGTCCCCGAAGTGAGCTCAAAAAAGATCGTTATATGTCAAGTTCTGTAGGCGGATTGAGTTCTGGCATAATGATAAAGAATTGAGTGGTACTAGCCAAGGACATAGAAGTTGCTTAATTAAATTGTCAGTAATTAAAATAATCAACAGATGTTATATCTTAAATATGGGGATATAAATCGAGCAATAAATAGGGAAACAATCTAATTATAATTCAGAGTTAAATTGAGAGTGCAAGAATATTCTCCGGTGGAATGATTTATTATTCAAGCATTGGGCAGAGTGTAGCACCCCGTTCGAATATGCGAATTTATGTGAAAATATATGGATTATTTGAGATTATTATATATTATCTTTATTATTATTATTATTATTATTATTTGCCAAGTTGATATCATTATTATTATTATTATTGTTATTGTAAAGCTAAATGCCTAATTGCAATTAATGTGTAATTGATTAGTATTATTATTAGTATTAATATTTATATTAATGTCTAATTTGCCTAATTGTTAATATATTTTAAATGTTTATTTATTTATAAATATTATTATGTGTGTTATATATATAAATATATCCGGATCATTTTATTTATTTTCTGAACGTCGCGCGATCGAACCGAGCCTTATTTAATACCGTCGAGCTCAAGAGGAGACCCGTTCAGCCCGAACATGGACCCATGCCCGTGACCAGTTTCTTTTAGGGCTTGGAGAACAAGAATGTTTACCCTAAGTATTTTAATCGGTGCCTTTTTCTCCTCTTAAAATTAATCGCGCAGACAATTTTATCTCTCATTTTCATCTCCCCATCGTCCCTCACTTCGTCTCCCTTGTTCTCCCAATTTTGATCGCATCGTCACCAGTTCAGAACTGCAACCATCATCTCCTCTGTGAATCTGCTGCCCATCGACGAGGACCCCCATCGCAGCACCTCGTGAGACCGTCACCGCCGTGCACAGCCGTGAGCAGCACCCTGTCGCTGTCCCTTGTTGTCGTCGTCATCACCGGCGAGAACTCTGCCACCCTCGCATAATCTTTCGCCGTCGCAGTTGCAGGCCATCGCCCAAAGCCTGCTGTCACTGATCGCCGCCGTCTTCTAGCCCCCGTCG